GAACCGCCGCAACTTGCCTCAAATGTACGCATGCATTACTGGAGCCTGTGTCAAGCGGCCCGAGCCGCTCGGCACGTCGGCCTCGGCCTGGGACACCTTGGACTCAGGAACCACCGGTGGAGCCACCCGTGCGCTTGGAGCAGCGAAGGAGCTGGATCTGATCCGACGCTTAAAGTGGAAGGTGCTGTCGGATGACGGAGTGACTTCTGTGGCAAGAAGGGACATGGAGTTTAACAGCAAGTTGATGTCATAGATCGCCAGAGAATTCAAGACCTGTTGGAGTTCCAATCCATCCATCTGCACCAGTTGCGAAGCTGTGGTATGCAAGCTAGTGGACACCAGAACCGACGACGGCAATGTCTGCAAGTTGAACATACACAACTCCTGTTGTCCACCCAAAGCAGCCTGATAGAAGAGGGCGGCGGTCGTCATAATCAACAGCAATAACATCGAGAATCCAAGCAGCCCCATGACACAGCTGCTGAAAGTATTCGCAAACTGCTGCATGATGCCTTCGACAGCATCTACCTGCAGAGCGTTTGATACGACCAGCAATATGATGCAAAGACCGATGAAGCCGTCCAGCACATTGAGGAGAGGAACCTTCCATGGCCAAGACCGCACCTCGATGATCAGGAAGATCAGGAAGACCAGCATCACCGAGACCACCTGAACTGGCGGATAGTCTGTTGCCATTGCAATGGGAAGAGACATCAATGGACCCCTTGCCAACAAGAGCACCCCGAACCACCAGCTGTCCAGGCGAAATCGCCCCAGCAGGAACCGAAACGCCTTGACTTTGCCGTGTTCTCCGCCGCTGCTCCACTTGGGCACCACGCAAACAGCATAAGTACAGATGGAAAGGAAGCCGAGGACGCCGAAAAGTAGAAGCAGAACTCCTGCCACGACCATGACGGTGTGATCCATCGTACCACATTGAATTCCCGGATACTTCAACACACTGTGCACGCCGTTGGGATGGCTGAAGCACGTCATCGGGGCCAGGGCAATGGTACTCATAGTGCTAAAGCCAACTTGCAGCATGGCACCGATTGTGCTCCAGGTTTTGCTCCCTTCCCATCTCCATTTTGAGGGCAACAGGCCGGAGAGTTTGCGGCAGATTAGTAGGTACAAGACGGTGGCTGGGAAGAAGGAAGCTGAGGCGACGTAGCGCAATGGCACAACGTTCCCTGCTAGACAGCTGAATCCCAAGCTGTCAATATCAAGAAGGAACACTTGGAGGAAAGCGTAGATGCCGGCGATGCCCTCCGGAAGAGCGACTGTCATCATTCCAATGATGCCGACGCTTTGTAGAGCCGTAATTGTCATGCCGAAAGCACAAGCTGTCGTGAAAAGCACGGAGGCTTTTGCAGTATTCTGCGAGGTCAGGGCATAATACGCTACGATGAGGCCGATGCACACCATTGCAACACCAGCAATCCAGCCCAGCACCTGCAACGGCGAGCACTCTGTGCAGCCCTTCTCATCGTCCCACGTCTTCCCTTCTTGGCAAAAAGTGCAGGCGGTGCCCTGCAGTCCACCAGCACAGCTCCCCGGCCTGCCACCTGGGCATCGTAAGTCTCCCATGCACCTGAACACTGCGAGAGGATCCTCTGCCTGGCTGTAGAAGTTCTCCAACAGCTTTGGAACAAACTGCTCACCAAGGGCGGAACCGCCGGAGAGGAGGCTCTCCCGGCTGGCCAGTGCAGGACAGTCTAAGCCTGTCCGGTCAATGAGGCAGCAAGCAGCTAGCAACGAGTGCACTTAGGCTGAAAGCAAAAGAACTCGATGCAACATGATGTCGGCCCAGTCCTTCTCCACACTCCACGCAGCTCAAGTTGTCAATGCCGGACTCTACGTTGATGAAGCCAGCCTTGCACCCGCAATCCGCCAGGGAAACCGAGCCGAAACCAAGCGTCGTGCCACCTGGACACTGACGGCACGTAGGGGAACCTCTTCGATCCTGGTAGAAGCCAATGTCACACCGAAGGCAGCTTTGACTGCCGGAGCTGTTCTGATACTCACCCAACTGGCATGGATCGCAGGAGAGCGCAGCGCCTGAGGGCTGGCTGCTGCCAGGCTCACATGGCCTGCACTCATACGTGAGGCCTTGTTTATCATCCAGCCGCGATGAGAACCGTCCGGACTCACAAGCTCTGCATTCCAAGAAAGTTGAATCATTCCTGCTGCTCACGAATTCCATGCGGTCAGTGTCATACAAGCCGAAGCCAGGAAAGCATTTTGTCTTGTCAGGCAACCTCTGCTGTGCAAATTTGATGGATAAGCCACTAAGGCCTTAAGAGCTGAACGAACCTTCGCCCAACTATGCCAAGGAACCAAGAGGCCCAAGACTCAGGATTCGATTGAAGCCACCGACCTCGGCTGGGCATCTGGCAAAGAGCATGAAGATGTAGTGCACTGGTGCTGCTCCTGCTACTGGTGCCGACACTTCGACGACGACTCCTACTCCTCCTCCTCATCCCTATCCTCCTCCTACTCCCACTCCCACTCCTCCTACTCCTCCTCCTACTCCTACTCCCACTCCCACTCCGACTATTACGACTACGACTACTACGGCTACTACGGCTACTACGGCTACTACGGCTACTACGACTACTACGACTACTACGACTACTACTGCTACTACGACTACTACGACTACTACGACTACTACTGCTACTACTGCTTCCTACTTCTACTACTACTACTACTACTACCACTACCACTACTACAACTACGACGACGACTGCGACTGCGACTGCTACTGCTACTGCTACTGCTTACCACTGCTACTGTCATAGTGCCACGACCACTACCGACGACAACATAGATTCGATCAAGCCTAGTCGAACACGGCTTACAAATCAAGCCAACCAAGCGACAGGCAACGTCAATGTGCGAATCACCGGTTGCTTTCTTGTCCCGCATCATGTCCATGACATCATTCATGTTGAAGCGCAAACCCCTGATGAATTCCTCAACATTCGGGGCCAAGGTCGATAAGTCTTGGCTGACAAGCTTCGTGATAGCACTCGATGCAGCTGCTGTGCGCTTGTCTCCCCTCATGTATGCGTTGAAATCGTATGGTGGAAAAGTAATTCCCACTGGGTCAAGATCCAAGAAGGTTGCATCCGGCACCCACCAGTAAAAGGTGCTCTTGACATTCAAAGGCATCTCCGCCCAATTTCTGGCCACGCCGATGGCTATCGGCATGTGAAAAGCCGTTGCCTTCTGCATCATGTCATCAACACCCCACCAGCCGAGGGCGCCAGTCAGGTACGGAATGCACCGGGCAGGGTCGGATCTGCAGGCCGGAGGCAGCCAGAAATAGCCATCTGGGCAATAAGAAACGAGATCGCCGTTCGCCAGAGCCCGAAGGCCTTCAGAATCACCTGGATGCAGCATCGAAGGTCCGACGAAGCTATCTATACCGGTGCAAGTAGTGTTAGCTCTTTCGGCCCCCAGCCTGTGACCCTGAGGTAATCCTCGTTCGGCTGGGGGGACATAAAGCGCGTCTCATTGCAGGGATGCATCTGGCTTCTGTTAATCGAATCCAAGGTGTCAAAGTACTTCTCATTGCGGCTCCATGACGCATTCCAACCCCGGTAATGTTCCAGAACGTTTCCATCCTGAAAGTGGGACTCAGCCAGGACACTCCTCGGGAAATAAGCGGAGATGGCACCATCATAGCCCATGCTGCCCAAATCGAGCGGAGCCCTAGAAGGATACTTCGCCTGGATCTCGCTCCACTCCTTGGCATAATCTTCGGACCACTGCTCGACGTTGATGTGGTTGTAGGTAACACCCGACCCACAGCCGGCATCACTCAGGTTCAGAGGCCTCAATGGGCATCAAAGTGCTGGAAGGCCTATGGAAGGTATGCTGCACGATTCGCTACCCCAACCAAGCTGAGCAGCCGCGCGCAGCCCATCAGGGCATAGAAAGCATTAAGTGTTCCAGGACCTGGTCCTGTTTCTATGACGTTGTAGCCCAACAACTCCTGCTGAGGAGCGACTCTCGAAAAGTCTTGCCTACGCTCTTGGGTCCGGCACACGAAAAATTAAGGTTTCTCTTCGGGTAAACTCCAGCTCCCAGAAGTCCTCTATGAGGATGTGAACTACACCGCTCGTCACATAAGCAGCATCCCAGTCATTGACCCAGAGACCAATGGGATAGGACTCGCCATCATGTGTGACGTTGCGCCTCTGGCTGAGGCTTCTAGGGTTCGGCAGGCATGCCGGTGCTCCAACCTGGAACAGGCTGAAGGAGACAAGCACGAACGCCACGGCCAACATGCCGTGGAGGGTGCTGAAAAGCCAAAATCCGGTGTCAAATGGCGTCGGGTCAGCAGGGAAAAAACGCCAAGCAATCCGTCTTGTCTAGAGATAGGTGTCTCCACCTGATTCATGCTCATGCACCTTAGGGCGCTTGCAGCGACGATATGCTTAATGATAGATCACATGGATTTGAGCCTGAATAGCTAACAGCTAAGCCGAGGCTCCACGCATATAGCTATGATGACCCAACCAGCCGTGCGAAAGGCACCGGAACACATCGGCGATGCCGTCATGTTATGCACAAAACATATCTGAGTTGCCAGCTTGCGCCACAGATGCAGAGGGCACTCAAAGAAGCCTTCTCTGCGGACGCCGCGTCCTTTGCACGAACTTGGAGGAAGCAAGCGTTCGCGCCAAGAATCGATGACTCTTCACACAGCCCCCCATGTCCCCACAATCTGACTTTCCTGTCTTCCTGTAGCCTTCCCGCTCTCCAGAACTCGACCTGTACAGCGGCAGGGGTTTGTCTCAACTCTGCGCCCTGCTCGGTACCCCAAACGACCCTGTACTCTGATGGGTAGCCTGCGTTCCCAAGAAGAAGACGGCCACGCGACCAGACGACCGGGTGGAGACGGGATCAGCACACAGAGCGGCACGTCCTGTCAGGACGAAGAATTCACCTCGCAAGTCGAAGACTTCGCTGTGGCCTCGCCTGCGTCGATCTCAGGTCTTGGAGCGATTAATCTGAGCCTCACAGCTTGAACACAGACCATGCGAAAATTAAGAGCGTCTCACGTGTGCCTCAAAGCACTCCATGTAGTGCGCCAGGCCATCCCGTACCGAGTCCACTTCCCGCTGGTCCTGTCGAGAGTCTCGTTGTGGAAACCTTCCGGCAAAATTGGGAAAATTCGAGAACGCGGTTGAGAGCACAACTGCGGCGACACATGGCAGCAAGTTTTGTGTTCTTTCGATTCTGCGTCATACACAACACTCCCTGATCCGTTCCGCGTGGCCAAAACAAACCCTGCAACCCGTGCTGTCATGATGTACTCGCTGCTCGAATATGGCTCCAAGTTACGTGTTGCATGCGGTCCTCTCCAAGCTCACGCAACAAAGTGACGAAAGCGGCCGCAGTTTGCACACGATCGTCAGTGCCGCCACTGTATTTCCTGCAAGTTACAAGAGTGGAAAGGCTCGCCGTGGCCATCTTCCGGTGTCTTCAGGTCCTCGTTCCACCAAGTTCGCTGCGGGATGCAGTGGTCACCTTCTGAAAATTGCCAAAACAGCCATGCAAGGCGATGGAACATGAGAGGCGACAGGCCGGGCTGCACATTTGTTTTGCGACTGGCAGAGAGCTTCTTGCTCTTGTAGGTTTCACAGGAAGCCACTAATCTTGGTATCCTTGGCTGGAGTAAGCGTGTGAATTGACTGATTCCCTGCAGCTGTATAATCCTTATCCCAGCAACTGTTGGTTGGCGCAGACATACCCATACCTCAGAACAGGCATTCCCAAAAGCCGAAGAAGCTGACATGAAAGCTCGCTTTGCTGGCCCGAATGTATCCAACCATCTAATGACATCAGAGCCACACGATTCGCTCAAGGTCCTCGTCGCTCAGCTGGTTGACGATTTTCGTCTCCCGAAGCCTCGCGAAAATACTCGTGCGTAGTGCGGCCGCTTAAAGCCCCAGCTTGCTCGAAGCACGCTGAACCAGGCAAGGCGGAAACGATCCAAGGGGCTCGAGATCTGCCGTGGGCACCCAGAACTTACCGGTGTTGCCTCAGCAACGCGAGACAGCAGGAAACATCCAGCAAGGGTAGAGGTAACGAGCCTTTGCATGAGGACCCTACACTCGCCTTGCAGAGACTCTGCGACAGCATGCCAACGTCATCGTCCCTGAAATGCTGATCTTAATTCGCAGGATAAGATGATGTGTATGATCACTTTCTAGAGGAGGCTTGATTCAGTGCCCTGTTGTTTCCCGGAAGTTCTCGATCGACCGAAGGCAGGGCTAATCTTAATGTTCAAAGACTGGGCAGACACTCTTGCCGACGGGATACGCCAAATCAAGCTCCTCAAACCGACGCTCGCAAAGGCCGCAGCAACATCAAAACAGACAGCTCCAGTACGCTTTGTGATTTGTTCGATTGAGCGGCGGATGGTCGCCAAACCAATGACCAAGACTGCCCGCATACCTGAGATGAAAGCCAATGTCGCTTCGCAACACAAGTACTCCAACAATGTCCCAAGATGAGTCAAACGTGAACTCAACTCCCTTCCGGATACTGCAACTTGAGAACGACGACCTTCAGCCATGACCCTCCGCAATTAAACTTCTACGTACCTCCAACCCAGAGCAGAAATTCGAGTGACTTCACATGAGTAATTTCGGCAAACATCGGTTTGAGCGGGAGGTCTTTAGAAATATGAAGCGTCAGTGACAGGATTTCATGTGGTGAGGCAGACGTCGTGCCACGCAGCTGTTGCATCCTTTGGGCTATGCTGGAATTGGCCATGGGCTAGCACCGCAGATGCTAGCACAGAAGTTCCGAGAGAGGTGCACCTATGTTTCCATGGAGCCGACCGGGTGGCTGTGACGCAGAGAGGATGTTTCGTCACATGTCCGTCCGTTTGCACCTGTGTGCGGCAAGACCCACAATGCATAGGCTTAAAGCAGCGGCATACAAACATGTTGCTGTAAGCGGTTTCGCAGCTGGGAGTGGGCATTAGGACCCCTCTGCTTTCGGATCTACCTAGGACGCAGATGTTCTGTGATGAACGCGTTGTCGACAAAGAGGTGTCGTCGATCTCGGTGCGATTTCCGCGTAAGTTTCAGTTGAGGGATACTTGGTGGAAGCTCATGTTCCAACAACCGCGACGTACGTTTTCGCCACAAAGCTGACTGAGGAAATGAGTGTAGTATCCTCTCCACATGGTACGAAACACGATACTTGACTTGGACCAATGCCCAGTTTTCGCAGCCGTGGCTATCCCCAGGCTCACACACGCACACATATACACACATGTGTCTGTATACATGTATATATATGTATATACACACACACACACACACGAGCGCATACATGTCTTGCTCTCTGATTGCTTCCCAGGAACAGAACTGATTCAAGGGAGCCACCCGTGCCAGCCGGTGCATCTGCCATGAGCATCTGCGCAAGCACTTCCGTCCAGCTCATTCCATAAACACCTGGCCAGCAGTAGCAGCAGTAGATGTCGTAGTCGTCGTAGTCGTAGTAGTAATAGCAGTAGTCGTAGCATCAGCCGTGGCAGCAGCAGCAGCAGTAGCAGCAGCAGCAATAGCAGCAGCAGTCGCAGTAGCAGAAACAGTGGAAGTAGTGGTCGTGGTCGTGGGGGGAGCCGTAATGGCAGTGGGCATGGGAATAAGAGTGGTACTAGCGGCGGAGATAGTAGCAGTGCCCGTAGTAGAAGCAGTAGCAGCAGATGATACCGTAGCAGTGGCATGGCTGTAACAGAGCAATGGCAGCAGCAGTAGCAGTAGCAGTAGCAGCAACACAGCAGTAGCAGCAGCAGCAGCAACAAGAGCAGGAGCAGAAGCAGGAGCAGAAGCAGGAGCAGGAGCAGGAGCACTTCATTCATTCAGATGCTCGTGCGGGTAGTCCCGAACCTTGGCGGGCATCGGGTTAATGATGACTAATGCTGACTCATGCTCATGAATCGCCAGCTATGGGGCAAGTGTTGTCAAACCGACACCCAAGCTGATCTTGCTAGCCCGGAACAGCAAGGAAGAAACCAAACGGGCCAAACGAGGCCAAGCAAAACATCTAGCAACGGCCCCATAGCTGGCGATCTTGCCTCGCAGCAATCTGCCAAAAGCTCAGCAAGACTTGCTTCACGGCGGTCCGTGGACTCAGCCCGTGGAGTGCAAAACTGCACCTGCCCGCCGGTCCGAGGACGCAGCACGCGCAGTTGTTCGCAAAACAGAACTGTAGCGGCATATCTCACAGAACTTGCGGTTTTTGCTCGGCTGCTGAGCTTGGTTTCAAGCAAAGAAAACAGCAAATAAAGTAAAAAATAAAGCTCACGACCCTAGGCAACCATGAAAGTACAGCAAACCTCCAGTCAGGAAATTAATCTACGAAGGGATGCCACCGCTGCCACGGAGGGCCATTCTTTCCATCCAGCAGCAGTGGCATTCCATCAACAAAATACCCTGAGGGCGTATTGGACCAGGAGGCTACCTCACCAATCTGGGTCTTTGAGTGCCTAAGGACCAACTGTCGTTTCAAAACGAAACTGTACGAAATTTAACACACATCTGCACTATGGCATGGCCTTACCCGAGGAATGGGACTACCATGCCTCAGAACTGCATCACCCGACGAACGGGATTACTAGGCAGAGTTTACCAGCTTGGCAGGTAGACAGCATGTCCGGCCTTACCCGACGTACGGGAGTACTGGGCCTTGCAGAAAAAGCCTTACCCGACGAACGGGACTACTAGGCAAATCCAGATTCGTAACTACGGTTGAAAGCCCATGTAATCCTGAGTGTGCAGTCACAGACCTGAGAGGTCCGGCCTGGATACCTGCATGCCGTACAGTCGCAATCCGGCAATAAAGGGGCTACGACCATTGCACTGATTGCCCAGCTTCTGGCTCGCCATCGCCGTGGAAAAGATGCAATTAGAATAACAGCTCGGTGTGAGTAAAATAGACAAGCAAATAAAGGTGTATGACGCACGTCAAAGCGCCAGCGTTCCACAGCTTCCGAGGACCAATACCATGACCAGGTTGCACTTTAAGGAGATCGCCTCCGAGGCCTAGCAAGGTGGGACCATTGTAGACACTGGCTTTTTCTGGCTACAAGAAAGTAGAAGTAAACAAACATCCCTTCGTTGAGAGGGCAAGTATCTGCGACCATCCCAGGCTGGTAATACGACACAAGCACATTTCCGTGGAGCCTGTGAGCAAATTCGAACCAGCATTGGCCAGTGCCATCCGATTTCAACTTCCGAAGATCAGAGGCAAGACTTGGATGCATTACAGGGATCTGCCGCTTGCGCAACAGGGACTCATGAGCCTTTTCCAGTCACTTGGCATGGTGAGGCTACATCGGCGGAGAACATCTGCAGACATGCTCAAGACGTGTCCTTGTAAAACCGGAATATTCAAGAAACCAAAAGATCTGCTCTGCGAACTGTGCCATTCATGAACATGGGGTGAAACATGATAGGCTCTGTGCCATCCGCGTGTTTTCGCCCAAACTGCAAACAGTTCGAACTCCCCCGCCGTGCGGCAAGACGGAAACCCTCAGCTCAGGAGCTTGCCTAGCAAGTGAATATCTCCGCCCGGAATTGGGACCGGGCCAGCTCGTGTACAACGCCTGCAAATTCGCGTGCCTGTATCACCACCGAGTGCGAGAAATGACTGAGACTCTGTGAGCCTCAATACAGATTTGCCAGCATTCCCATGCGCAACCTGATCTAAGAGAATGGAAAATGGTTGGAGGACCAGGATCTGTTGGGATCTCTATTGGTTGGGCCCTCCACAGGCTGTCCTGTGGTGATTCGACGGCAGTCGCAGCGGCAGTCGCAGCGGCAGTCGGCCCGGCCGCGGCAGGGCCAGGGGCAGAGGCGGTGGCACAGTGGCAGCAGAGCAGCGGCAGCGGCAGCAGCAGCAGCAGCCGCAGTAGTAGCAGCCGCAGTTGTAGCAGCAGCAGCAGCAGTAGTAGTAGCCGCAGCAGCAGTGGCAGTAGCAGTCGAGGTAGCAGCAGCAGTCGCAGTCGCAGTAGCTGCAGCAGCAACCGCATCAGCCGGATCCGACAGAATCATATTCAGTTTCGTTTGGACATTCAGCCCTGACCATGCAGCTTAAAGCTCTGTTCTGAGAACAGGCGGCACGTCTGTAATTTGGAACAACGGAGTTGAAACTCGTCTAGGACTTCTACCATTAAATCAAACGTGGGTTTGCACTCAGCTCGAGCAGGGCAGGTTCGGCCTGCAGTCATAACACGTGCATCGCACAAGCATCCGCCGGAGCGATATCTACGAGGTTAAGGTCGGACCAGAACCTGTTTCTTTACTGTTATGGCCAAGGCTTTCAACTTGGTGAACCATGTCGTATGCTTTGCAAAATTCCAACTGTTGCTTCCAATAGCACAACTAGAAAAAAGCAAGCAACATGTCGCTGAAGCGTGCTCACCACGGCTGCTGTCCAGCATCTGACACACACAACATTTGCAAGCGCGCAAATGAGGCCTTCAATCTTGAAGCTGCCCGTCCACCAGATCTCGGCCTCTGCAGATTGGCATCTGTGGACATCGCAGGCTGGGCAGACTTTGGTGCTGCCGAGACGCGATGATGCTTTGCTCATCGTCCATAACCTTCTCTTTCAGATAGCGCTCAATGGCCCATTGAAACCAGAGTGCATAGAGCAGTACACCTTCTCGACCACCTGCATCGCGAGAGATGCAGGGTGCGAACAGCTGCGAAACTTCGACACTTGACCGGAATCAAACCATGGGCCTAACAACACTGAAGAGTCATAGGTTGTCCCATGCTCCAACCGCTTCAGCTTGTCGCGGAAATCGAATATTATCCACATCCGCCGACCAACCTGAGAAACGGAACAGAACGCATCGGGTGTGTCGTGGCTTCACATCTTGGCTCTGCACGCAAAGGCTCCACGGCGAGCAGCTCGGAAGGACAATTGGTCTGGACCCCCCTGAGCAAGAGCACAGAGGACATTGAGAAGTGGACACAGGAGTCTTTGTTATGCGTCTGAGTTCGAGCAGCCAGCACGATTGAGCTCACTAGGTCGCTGTTCATTCCACGCCGCTGTGCGATGAAGCAAGGGCACTCCTCTGAAGCTCGATTGACCAAGGCACCTGGAAAGCCGTAGTCAATCTTGCTCTCCCTGAAGTCAACAAATCTCGACAACGGACGATGTAATGATGCTGCGGACACCAACGCAGGGACCGCACCTGGCGGCACCGGCGTCGACCCAAGCAAAACGCTGGGAGCGGAAGGGGTTCCAGTGAGCCGCGCAAGCCAAGAGCTCGGGCTTCGAGTTCACGACCTGCAGACGAACCCACAAAACGCTACGAAATTCGTCACTCTGTTGATATCTCTAGGTCTCTAAGTGCATGGCCAGCGTGTACTTTGGCTGGATCCTCCGCTCCGCGAAGCTCTTTGGGCTTGTTTTGCGGCGGGGGCGGTTGCAGGAACCCGGGGTCCAGGCACCTCTGGGCGCAGATCTTCTGGCAACTTTCGCCGATTCTCCGCATGCGCCTGGACATGCGCGTGTCAGCTTCTACCAAAACGAACACTAGTGTTCGAAGCCGAAGGAGTTGCCTTCTCGTAACCATCTTCCCAACGCATTTGAGGCAAAGCCTGCTGAGGGACCTCTGCACAGAGCAGACAGCTAAAGTGTAACGGCATGCTGCTGGCATGATTTCATGTCTCTTGGCTTCGCCTCCACAAGGCAGCTTAGATGTTTCAGGCCATGGGCTTGTCGCACAGATGCCTTGGGGGACAGGGGAGGAGTCTTGCAGCCTGATGCTTTCCCAATCAAGGACGCCCTTTGCCAGCAGGCCACGGCATATCTGAGGGTCTCTTCTTCTGCGAAGACGATCAGGGCTTGAGGCTTCTGCAGCAGTTGGCTCATCCAACCGAAATACTTCTTGAACCTGAGTTGATAGAAGCTGCAAATTTGGACGGACGCCTTACCCGCTCTGGGTCTGCTGCGAATGCCCTTCTCCCTCCTGCGGACCGTTCACTGGGTTTCACGATGGTGTGCGAAAGGGTGTTGCTTTGGGCAGGGGTTTAATGCGCGGGTCTTGCGTTGTTCCTTGGACAGTCGTAGGACACGACTGCATGACAGGCACAGACTGCAAGCACTACAAATTGCAATACGGCCAAGCAGCTTCGCATGCTGAAAGGTACAACACTGCGACGTAACGCTTCAGGTTAGAATATGATGAGGCACTGCAAATCATAGCACTGCCCGGTCTGGCAGAATCGAGCTACACACTGTAACATGCTCTGTCAAAACTCTGTCTGGACTGTGCTGTCTGTCGGTTCGGAGCCGCCAGGAAGAAACCCGCAAGTTACACGCCGCAGCGTGGTGGCTTGTCGGTAAACTTAAAGCTTCTGGGAGGCCTCGGTTCACGAGTTCAAGTTCAGCTGGAGCTAGTAGCTTTCCGGATGCAAAAAAAACACGTAACTCGATAAAACCGCCTTGCGCTTCGCCCTTGCACGCCCTTGCGCACAGACGGTTTTAAACACATTCTCACCTTGAAGTCTTGATAAACCGTCTTACACTACTCTGTCGCCCTTGCGCCGCCCTTGCGCTCGCTTGCGCCGTGCCGATTGTGTAGCAGGTCCTGAACCTGCATCAGAATATCCGCCGAGGCCAGAGGCGCAGGCGTCTTGATGGTTACCTCAGCCACCTAATCCTCCTCCCTGCAGTCCAAATGTTTGGAGACACCCGCTTTTTGCGTTCGTTTGCCGTCCGGCTTCCCTTCATTTTACCTGATTTGTCGGCCTCCCCCCCCCGCTAGGCCTTCCCCCCCCATCCCCCTCCCTTTTCCCCCCCCCCCCCCCCCCTTCCCCCCCTTCCCCCCCTCCCCCTCCACCCCACCTTGCCCCGTTCTCCTCGCACTTGGGTATCAACAACCGTGTAAAGGTTGGGGTTGAGAGGCCCCCCTAGCATGTATACAACATCGACTGCCCCCTCGCCCTGCCGCTAAACAGCCGAGGCGGGCCGCGTAGCGTTAAAATTAAAGTGCGCTGCTAGTCTACGGTCAAGAGGCGGGTCTCACTTACGCCGCAGCACGCTCGCGCCCCAAACATCTTTTACTTCGGCGGCTTGGTGTGCTCTTCGTTCAAAAGCTCCCGGCCGGACCTTTTTTTGTCGGCACCTGTCGTCATATTGATTATAGTATGACTCGAGGTTTTGGCGAGACGAAATCTCGCTTTCAATTCGATGGGTGCAGGTACACTGTGCGTAGACTGCAAACAGCCCCACATGAAATGAGGTATTGCGCAAGCTTTCCATTTGCTGGGTGGATAGACTACAAACCCAGCAGCGCAGCAGCGCTCCTGGTATCGATCATGTGATGGCCATTCCTCTCTGTGCAGGTTCCATAGGCCAGTCACCAGCGTAGTGTTCGAAAGCTTGCGCCTCGAGGTGGGAAGCAAAGAAGCAGAGCTTGCGTAACATCCGTCTCCAAGCTGCATCAGCCGGTTCTTACAATGCCCTGGCCATGACCAGTCACTGATCTTACGCGTGCGCCTGGGACACCTGCTGCGAGACATCTGTTGGATCCTGCATGCAGAGTGAAATAGCACGGATTATCGGCCCCTTTCGTACACAACAGAGAAACAGCCCATTCGACGAAGCACCTGCTGCGCAATGCTTGACCACATGGGCTCTGGCAGCAACGGTCTCTGGTGTGCGGAGCCATCTCTCCTACAAGTACCGAACGATAGCACGAGAATTCTTGCGCACTCTCTGCAAGCTTGAGCCTGGGAAACAGCCCGCCAGGGGTGATTGGCCACAGCATAGCTCGTGAGTGTAGCCATCCTCGGTTTAGGAGATCTATGCGGGCAATGCTAACACCAAGACTAGAGGTTCGCTTCTTGCCTTGCCGTTCGCCAAGCATCCGTCCAGCAACTTGGATTCTCGTCCAACTTCCAGCTGCTGGCAGCTCCTGCAGCCAGCAGAAGAGCCGCGCAGCGAGCCATGGCTTGGCATCATGAGCTCGACTTGATGGTCTCTGCCTTGTTGTGATGTAGACGTTGGACATGCCGAAGGATTGAGCTCATCCCGTCGAAACACGAAGAGTGTACCCCTGCATCACCATCCAGCAGCACATGCATAAGTGCACTGGATCTTGGCACACCTGCGCGATTGGTGCTCGCTAGTCTTCGTTTGTCGTGTAGAGTCTAGAGTCCAGACTGCATCGTGTCTGCAACATCAAGCCAGCGCATGATTCACTGATTGATTACCAGTTGCGCACAAAATCGAGCAGGAGGCACTTAGGCACGAACAATGCAGCGACGAATTCTTGGACCTGAGCACATGATCTGCAGAGCTGCGCTCTATGCCAGCAAGCAGCCACGGCTTCATGCACTGTGCCGAGACTTCGCACGCACTTTGTCAAGCAAAGATCTCAGCCTTCACGGAGCCTCTTTGTGCTCTCGATGGGGCTTGGGGTTCTACGATGGGATTTGATGCGGCTTTTTGTACACGGTGACTTCGGCTTCGGTCGTCACATTCCGCCTAGAGACTGCCCGATCGGCGAAGCACGGCTTGCCTGGACCAGGCAAGGCTGATGATGTTGCTTCTGACTGAAAAGCGAACTCAACAACTCCCGGGCCTTCAGCACCTCTTCGCGCTCCTGGGCTTGGGACTCCAGCTTCTCTAACTCCTCTTGCAAGGTCTGTACCGCTTCGGAGGCATCCGGGCGACCTCGGGCTGGTGGGCTGCTACCCGTACTGCCCCATGAGCGGTCCGGGCTTGGGCTTCCGACTCTCCACCTGCCCACATATGCGCTGGAGCTCCGCATGGATAACCTTGCCAAGAGCCACGACTCAGAGCTTTCCAGGGTTAAGGGAAGTGTGGGGCTCCCGCTGCCAGCACGGCGTGCTCAAGCGCGCAGGTCTCTGCCGTCGCTGGCAGACCTGTGGAAGCAGAAACTAAAGGCGCTCAAGGCTTAAGACGTGCAGATCCCGAGAACCCGCCACAACCCGAAGCTGCACAAAAGCTCAACTTGTGCGGGATCTTCGAAGGGGGCAATTCCGCCATATTCCGCCTGACAGGGCCGCAGAGATGTCCTTGAAGCGATCGGCAACGGGCATCTCTGCTTGCCTGTGCTCGCTTGCTGATCTTTTATCTTTTCTGGGCCCCCAACAGGAAGTAGGCTCTCCCAGCTGTGCTTCGCGCTAGTGGCTTGCTGTCAGGAGACTCTGAATTCTTTTGAGTTCGCGTGGATCCACTTACGAACTTTCTCGTTTGAGGGCGTGAACGACCTAGGCTACCCTCAGCTGGACCAACTGAAACCCCCGGGCAATGTCCAAGTCTATATGTCTACAGGTACCATGTGTGCTCCTACTGCAAGTTTCACAGCAGCCCAACAGCTTTCGGGGCTTCTACACGAGACATTTGACTAATGGCGGCTAATCAGATTGCTCATTGTCGTGTGCGAGAGAGGAATCAGAAGTGATGGCACACAGACGAGTTGCTCCCAGCGTTGCAGCGTGTCACTAGGACCCTGAGGCTCCACAGCGGGAGCTGGCAGCGGCAGCGCCTCGGAAGAGAACGTCTTGAGGTATAGCACGGCCGACGGCCACGGCCGACGGGCAGGAGCTCTTCCGTCACCTCGAGCCTCGAGGCATCGCTGCACGAGGCCCTGGGCCGCTTCGCCCAGCTGCGCGACACAGCGAGCGCCCGCCGACTGCAGCGCAGGGGCACGCACACGGGCACGCACGGGGTCAAAAGGCGCACGCTCCTACTCTTGCGCTGCACCCGCCTCCAGCAGCCTTTCCTCAGCGAAAAAAAGCTGCAGGACCGATCAGAATCCCATATTTCTGTTGCTCGGTGGGAAGCTACACTTCAGCCCAGGCTCGGCGAAGCCTGCGGCATGAAACACAGAGACTTCAGCCCATGAGAATCTCAGTAGTTCCGTGCTGTTTGCATCGGTAATCTGACCCGAGCACCTTGTTCCACATCGCTCCGCCTCTGCACGAGCTGCAGGCGATGCTCGTGCCAGGAGCTCAGGTGCCTGAGCATCACAACACCGGCCGTCACGGAAGACTGACAACCTCTCCGTCTCGCCCTCTGACTCCAGGCAAATGAAGCTGCAAAAGGGACTTACACAAGCCAACGCAATCGGCGAATCAGGTTTTCATCCGAGAGTCTCTAAGCGATTCAACGAATGGTCCGCGACCTCCGCGGCAGCAATGCCCTGGAGGGACCTTTCAAGAACGACTGCATATTCAGGACCTGCAGCCAACGCAACCCTGGCACAGTGCCTTACGTGTAAGATCGTCGCTTGTTGATCCCCGTCTTCAAGGTGAAGAACACTTCCGCCACCGCGGTGGCTCCGTTCTCTGTCTGACCTTGCTTTCTCAAAAGGCCGAGCACACCGCAAACCCTTCAAGGAAGGCCTCGCCCTGAGACCGGCGCCGCGGCTTCCTCCGTACTCCTCTCAAAAAAGGAAGCTTTTGAAGCGCCCGGATGTGCCGGGGCCGGGCTCCCCGTGACTCCCTCCCAAGCTCCTGCAGCAGCTTCTTCAAGGCCGCCAGCTTGCGTTGGTGCCAAAGTTGTGCCTCAGACTCGAGGTCCTGGCATGGGCGCAGCGAGATCGACAGATGCCCTGAAATGTATGCGTGCATGCATACATCAGTTCTTATGTGTAAAATATGTGTATATATATATATATATATATGTGTATAGCACACTATCTTTATTTTTGTATTGATACTTATATACTTATATACTTATATACATATATACTTATATACTTATATACTTATATACTTATATACTTTTATATACTTGTATACTTATATACTTATATACATATGTACTTATATACTTATATACTTATTAATACGTATATACTTATCTGAATCTTTGTCTTTATATACTTATACTTATACTTGTACTTGTTCTTATACTTATACTTATGTTTATGTTTATGCTTATGGTTATGCTTATATATAATTTCAAAAGAATGTGTGTGTGTGTATATATATATATATATACATTTATATTCGCGGCGACAGCCCCTTCCGGCAGGCCGGTGCAAGCCAGTGGCTTGAGTCTCTGGCCGTGGAGTTACATTGGGGGTTCTTGGTTTTCCTTGACGGGGGATCATGTTCCGGTTGAAAGAAACCGAGGGTCGCGGCCCGGAGCTTCTTTGGCGGATCTGATGTACACTGCCGGCATTCCCAACATCCTGGCGAGCCATGGCGAGCCGAGACCGCCTTCGGGCGGAACTGCCATACAGCATGGCCCTATGGGACTTCGGGACCCGGTAGCGCAGTGGGACCAGTGGGCAGATTGCATGGTCTCGCACCCTGGCAGGTTCCGTGGCTGGATCAAGCGGGCAACCGCCCTTGAGCTTTACCGCCTGATGGCACTGGCCGCCCTGCAGTCCTGCGGCCGCAGTCCCGTTGGATGCTGCACTGGTGGGCCCCAAAACCATGCCGAAGGTGGCATTCATTTTGCTGAAGCATGCCTTCCCAGTCGGGTCGCCTGGGCCTGTCATGCTTCGAAGCTCCACGGATACAGGACCACAGGAACTTTGCTGACCACCATGGTGCAGCTGTGAGCGGCGGTACGCGACTGGCGACTGTTGCCCGCCTCCGCAGGCACGTCTTTGTCACCCGTGAGGCTCTTTCCAGGTCGAGGGAGCCCTGCCTTCCGCGCCGCCGCACCTTCTGGCCCCCCCAGTGCAGCTTGCTGGAAGCTTGTGCGACCTGGACGGCACCGGGACCTCCCGGGTCTCCTAGAGGCCCTTTTACAGCCTTTGACGGGGACACTGCTTGAGAAGTTGTGAGTGACTTCATCGCGTCGCTCGGGCACTTGCGCCGCACAGTCGATCTCCGGGAGAGTGACGGGAGCGCTCAACCCTTTGCCCGAGAGGTTGCTGATAACCTTCTGCTCCTCCTTGACCCTGACTTGTGTTGTGACCACTTCCGGCGGCCGAAGGTTGATTCGCCTTCCCTGGACTTTTTTGCGGTACTGGGCTGGCCTTGCCCTGTGTCCTCACGAGGGATCCCGTCACCTTGGGTCTTGATCCTCCATCTCTGCCTAGCTACGTGTTTCCTTTTGACTGCAGCGAGCCTTTGGCCTGCATCATCAAGCACGTTGTTTGGTTCGAAGCGTCCTGTGACACGCTCTCCTTTGCGGCGCAATACGCACAGCAGGACAGGCCCCGGTGCGCATACTGCAGCGAGCCCGGAGGCACTCCATTGCCGTAAGAGCCTCTTACGGCCTCTTACGGCTTGGCTGGTAGCCCTAGGGGGGCTTCGTCCAAGACGCACTTGGGCTCTCGTCTCCGTGCGACTGATTGAGTCCTGTTCAGTTTCGCTTGAACTCGGATGCTAGAGGCGCGTCGTACCTGACACAAGCCTGTGGAAGAAGAAGAAGAAGAAGAAGAGGAACCAGAAGAAGATATTTACACTATATGTACATAAGCAATATAAAGATCATGACTGGCCTTCAACAAGTCCAGCTTCGTGGTGAGATTCCAGGCTTCGAGTCTGCCTTTGACCGGGTGGTTTCAAGCTTCGTCTCCATTGGCTTTAACACTTCTACACATACTGTGATGCCAGACAATGCAGTGTTGGTTTGTGCTTTTATGCCTGCTCAATGGCAGCCAGTTGTACTGCAGCCACGCTCTTCCGATAAAGTGGAAACTGCCAACATTCATTGAATATTCAACCTCCCAGCAGCAACGTCACCTGGAGGGGCACCTATAGGGAACAGCAACAAGATGCGAACCTAAAGCAGCTTCACTTGCAAAGACAATTGCTTGGTTCATGCTCTGTTCTGCCCACATAACATGCCATAGAACTGCAATCTCGTACGAGCTACCATGACAAAACCAAGGCAATGGTTCCTGAAGGGGGACCTTCATCGAGGCCAGGGTATGATGCCTACATTACAAATCTATGTCCTGCCTTAAACCCTGGTGTTGCCAATAGTGAGTGTAGCTCATATGAGGCAGCTCCAAGGGTAAAAGGAGGGACCCTTAATAAGGACCCCTAGGCATATAACCTTAATATAGCTATTATATAGCCCATTATAGGGTAGGGGTCCCCATTAAGGGTCCCTCCTTTTCCCCTTTGAGCAGCTCACTGGCCTGCTAACTTTCGCACTGCTGCACTAATGGATGCTACTCTGGGCCTCAGTAGGGCACTGTGTGGCTGTCGGCACCGACTTGACTGGAGCCACGGACGGCAATCCTGCTCCGATTGCGCCCGAGTCACTCTCTGCCATCCAACTCTCTTGGGATCCACTTTTTGCCTTCCGCGGTTCTTGGGACTTGGAGTCACACCACAGTAAAGCAAACACGTGCAGACCAGGCCTGGGAATAGCACTGCTGAAAGCGTGTTTTTATCGCATCCTGAGCAGGGTCACTGGTCTTGTGCCTGCGATGCCTGTCCCCAAATTGCTGGACTGTGAACACGTGTCTCTCTGCTCTTTGCAAGTGTGAACTCCCGAAGACTCGATCCCAGAACTTAGAAAGCCAGGCATCGATCCTTGCTTGGCCCCAATCGAGCACCTGCCTGCGCAAGTGTTGACCTGGTCTTCCAGACTTGAGATACTGCTTGTAGCATCGCTAGGCTTCCACGACACGACTTCAACCCTTGCAGTTGCTTCGGTACAGAGGATGTTCTCCGTTTCCGGACCAGCGCATCACATCAAATGCAGCTTGGTGGCGAAGTTCATCCTGATGCATCGGTTGGAGTCCGAGTCTCTACACTTCCAACGTCACCCAGTCAAAACCATCCAGCAGCTTCCCAAGGAGGTGTGTGCAACAACATTCATGATGCATGTCACGTGCCTCCTTCATGCTGTCTTCCAGCGACGCATGCCTGCCCAGCACCAGGCCACACCACGGCGAACAGAGGAAGGCGACCACTTCGGCACTGCCATAGCACTGCTATCAAGTCAGCAGGATACCTTTTGGCCACGCAGCCTCGTCACCGCCATGTCACTGTTAAACAGTCAGAATCGGCCAGGCAGGCCAGAGATACAAAAGCGAATACTGTTGGGCAGCACGGCTGTCGAAATAACAGATCCATGCCCGCCTTTGCAAGCCCACTTCTCGTGTGTCTCTGTTTCACGGCACAGCCTGGTAAACATCAAGCTTTTCAGGTGATAGTCTAGAAGGAAAATAGCTTGGCGAGAAGGTTCGACGAAAGCAGGCACAACATGTTCTGCATGGCCTGGGTATCAACCGGGCACTACACGAAAGAACACGCCCCGGATGTTGCTAACAAGGTGAGATAACGCAAGCTACTGGTCAGGCAAAGTAACTCCTTGCCGGCTCTCTCATGCGGCAAGACATCGGATTTTGTCAGAGTCTTCCAACCCATGGAGTTGATTGCTCCGGAACACTGGAGATTCAGACAGTTTCGGAAGCATCCGCCAAGGAGGACTTTTCCGCCCCGTAAGCCTTGAGCCTTCACCATCCCCCACCTCAGAATACCTCACGTCACTCCTGGGCCAAACCGAAAAAATCTGGGAACCTTTGGCCGGGATGGGCAGTCCGGTGAGCTGTGGAAGCCGCAACGACTCGAGCTTCAACCTACGAAACCTTTTTGGGCTACTACCAGTAGCTTGCATGCATGTCGACTCTGCACTCCACAACCCAAAAAAAGCTGCTTGGCCTCGCCAAGCGTAAATCGGCTGCCTTTACCCAAGGCGGAAGGTCTCCAAGAGGAAAGCTAGGATAGCTCTCCAGGTAAATGACAGAGAACTCACTAAAGCTGCCGGAACCGCTGGTCTGGATCTTTCAGTCATTTCAGTCTTGGTCCCTCCAAAGGACAGACAGCAAAAAGACCGGTCAAAGCTGGATGACGACTCGCAGGGTGTCGCGAACCTCTAGCTGCAGCCGCTGCTTCTCCAGTTGGTGTCGCACTGTGCCACGGACCTCCCCACTACCTGGTCTGAGGTCCAGAATCGGCGAAACCTCCATCCTGGCTACTTCGATGTTCACTTGGAATTTCACGGGGTCTTGCTCCACCGCCAGGAGGAACTTCTGCAATCGGTCAAAGTGAGCCTCCGCCTCGAGTTGAGGCCGAGGCCGCCCCGAGCCCCTTTCCCCGAACATGCCTTGACCCTGCGCGGCGGCTTAAGCGGCCGGAGCCGCTGCTGGGCTTCGGCCGCCGGTCCTACCGCCTACCGCGGTCTGAGCACTCTTTCCGTGCTGCGGCAGAGTGCGCGCAAGATCTTCGAAAGAGCAAGCAGCAAGCCGTCACAGTGCAGCTGAGAGATCTCTAAACCAGGGCCTCGGAGTTGTGCTGCCCTCGGAGTCGTCAGAGGCCTCCTTTACAGACTGCATATTTCCTACCTCAGCGCGGGCGCTCCGACTGCCTTCAGCTCTTCTGAGCGAGGATCAGGTCCCGGGTTCAAAGCTTTCCAGAACGCCTTGGATCTTTGGGGGCTCTCAGGCGTTGCACTTTCGGGTCCATTCGGGACCCAATCGATCCTCTGACTCGTATTGCCTTGTATCAGGTGCAGCCATGTCACCTTGGGAACTTGCGTGGCAGCGGCAGGACCTGCACAGCCAACTTCGATGCCATGGTCCTCAAACCGATGTGCCCTCGGACTCTTCGTGGAGGTCTAGTCGGGGCGCCTCGATTCACAGCATCGAGTTCGTGGAAGGCCCCTTGGCGCTGGTCCACGGAGTTCCGCAACACATCCACCACATCCCTGCAATGCAAAGCTTCCAGCTTTGAGCTTGGTCGGAGGAGTGAGTGGGCATCAGGATCCGTATCCAGAATTGCGGGCTACAGAAATGCGATCAAACACTATCGCACCATCGCCTAATGAGCGGTCGAGTTGCAGAAGTGCCATCAACCGGCTTAACAAATGGTGCGATCAAGCACCGTCGCCTAGTGACGGTTTGGGGCTATGGCTGGCATCGAACCGAAACTGAACCTGGCACGATCCGGAATTGCCCCGCACGTACCCTAAACCCGAAAACACCCCTCTTACTGCTTGGCTTCTTGGCTCTCGCGCCTCAGACGCATGGCCTGGGCCTCCAGCGCTTCGCGGCGCTTCTCGAAGCCCTGCTCCGCCGCCTCGCGAAGTATCGAAGGCTTCTGAGACCCAAGGGTTTGAACACGGCGGATCGCTGAGAGAGTTTGGGCTCAGCGACAGCGGGAGCAACATCTGACCACGGAAGTAGCAACATCAAAACGCCCTTGGACCTTTTGTCCCTTCGTCACTCACCATCAACATCAGAATGAACAAGTGCCACGCTGTTGATGCCACTTGATACTAAAACATACGAAACTACTAAAACTGTGAGCAAACAAACGCACATATTCGTAGACATGCGCTATTCTGCGTTGGGGTTGAGCCTTTCAGACAGCTTTAAGGTCGGCTTCTGAGGACGCCCCAACCAAAATTTGCCCACATGAAGGCCACGGCCATCATGACCACAGCTAACGGCAGCCCTGGTAGCAGTTGCCACGTGTGACGGTGCACTTGCCCTCGCACTGCATGATCTGGCCCTTCAGTGCTTCCTCCTCTTCGGCGGTGTAGTACGGTCCACCGCCAGGTGGAATGTGGCACCAGCGGTTGCAACTGCCGAAGCTGGAATCGCACGTTGCGTGGCATGCTGCGCCTCCTGCAGCCCCAACGGAGCAAGGCGACCCGTGCGACTGGCGGCAGGAGACTGCACAGGGATCCTGGTTGATGCAATCATCGTTGGCAATCCAGGAGCAGTCGCAGCCATTTGCCGAGCGCTGTGTCTTGGTTGATTTGGTTGCACCGCAGCTCTGATAGCAGTTGCCACGAGTCACGGTGCACTTGCCCTCGCACTGCATGATCTGGCCCTTCAGTGCTTCCTCCTCTTCGGCCGTGTAGTACGGTCCGCCGCCAGGTGGAATGTGGCACCAGCGGTTGCAACTGCCAAAGCTGGAATCGCACGTTGCGTGGCATGCTGCGCCTCCTGCAGCCCCAACGGAGCAAGGCGACCCGTGCGACTGGCGGCAGGAGACTGCACAGGGATCCTGGTTGATGCAATCATCGTTGGCAATCCAGGAGCAGTCGCAGCCATTTGCCGAGCGCTGTGTCTTGGTTGATTTGGTTGCACCGCAGCTCTGATAGCAGTTGCCACGAGTCACGGTGCACTTGCCCTCGCACTGCATGATCTGGCCCTTCAGTGCTTCCTCCTCTTCGGCCGTGTAGTACGGTCCGCCGCCAGGTGGAATGTGGCACCAGCGGTTGCAACTGCCAAAGCTGGAATCGCACGTTGCGTGGCATGCTGCGCCTCCTGCAGCCCCAACGGAGCAAGGCGACCCGTGCGACTGGCGGCAGGAGACTGCACAGGGATCCTGGTTGATGCAATCATCGTTGGCAATCCAGGAGCAGTCGCAGCCATTTGCGGAGCGCTGCGACATGGTCATGTTGCTCGTGTTCGCCAAGCCACGGAGGCCGGGTGCTGCGGCAGCCAGAGCTGCAAGCGTCACCGCATTGAAGCACAAGCGCGAGAACATGGCTTCTCGAGTGGGTTGGTGGGAAGGAATCGAAAGACCTTGCCTTTGGGCCACTGAATGCGATCAAGGAAGAGAGGCCAGATCCATGTTGACCATGACGGCTTCCATCAATTGCAATGCCAGTTGCTCCCAAGCGAAAGCTTTTCCTTGATTCGTACTCCCCTAAATATCGCTTGCAAGTACAGGACGACCCCATGGCAAGCAAAAGATCACTCCAATGAGAAACAAGTGAAGACTTCGCACACAGCCTCCAGCAGCGGCTGGTCGACCTGAGGCTGTGTCTGTGCCAAGGGAAGGCCCTAAGCCCGCGGTGGAATCGGCTGTCGAAACGACAGTGCTCGAGCGGCACATGCTCGAATCAAGTTCGGAGCTTTAATCGGCGGTGCCGGGACGACAGCAGTGCTTGAACCGTAGTGCGAATCGCGAGTGCTTGAACCGCCAGCGCTTGAAGCGATGGGCTCGAATAGGGGCCACAGCTGAATCGCACTGATGTGAGAAACACCCACTGCTCTACTCTGCATGCGAGGCACTGTGTTGGTGGCCTCTGCAAACCTCTGCTTCAACAACGCTGGCTTGATGCGCTCGCCTCGGTGAGGCGGTTGAAAGCGCTGGACTCCTGACTCCCGACCGCGAGCACGAAGAGCTTCCCTGAGTAAGGCTCGTTTCCTCTGCAGCGCACTGCTCGCGAACTGAGCAGCATGCACCTGACAAGATCATCCAAGGCAACGCTGGCTTTTGCTGGCTGGCCTTTCAGCCGGCAAGGCTTTCACGCGCTTCAAGAGACGTGTCTGATCTTCTCTACCAAGGGGCCATCTCTGTCGGCAGTGGCACCTCCATCGCCTCTGGCAGAAGTCACACCCCCAGCAGAGGAAAGGCGACAGCGACACGCAGCAAACGCCTCCAATTGTTCGACCACGCCCTCCAGATGGTTGCGCAGAGAGGCCAGGGCTGTGGCACCGGAAGAGACGTGGGCATGGTCTCCGAGCCTTTGCAACACAATAAGACCACCGATGCCAGGTTTTGCCGCCACTGCTTCCGAGCGACTCCGGAGCTCTCGGTCGTCCCGGTCCCCCTTTCCTGCAGGCTTGGACTCTTGGACCGCCAAGCTCTGGCTCTCGCTCTTCTTTCCCTTTGGCGCCTTGCCGGCGCTTCTTCGGAGTCCGCCAGCGTGCCTGACAAGCTGGGGGAGGGGGTGGCCAAAGGCAGGAGGCGTCGCTCACACGCTCTGATAGCACTGCAATCTTAAGTCTCTTCGTGTGGCATCGCTCCTACACTTGCGGATCTCTTCGGGTAAACAGACTGGTGTCATCTGTCGAGCCGCAACCTGAACGACATCCGCTGTTGGCCTGCCAATTCCGTTTTGGCTGTGTCAAGGATGGCATCGCGCAGAAACGCACGCACCATCTGTTTGTCCTTGCGAGGCTTCTGGAAATGAATTGGTGCTGCTCCGATGTATGCCGTCTGAACTCTAAGAAATCTCCTCTTCCTCCTGCTGCTTGGCAAGTACGGCGTCCCTGTGCCGCTTTTCATGTACGCGGCGTCTCTGAGAGTAAGCGTCCTCTCCTGAAGTGCAAAGCATATTTAAGAGCCCAGCCAGCGCCAATGCCACATCGTGTCCGCGTAAGGCTGCCACTCCGCTTCCGCCACGCTTTCAACTCCTGCAAGGCTTTGAGCCGCATCAGACTATTGCTATTGAGGCTTCGGCTTTCTTTGGTCCTCCGCCACCTCCGCCGCAAGTGCTGCCGCGCCACCCGGTGCCAGAGTTAGGCGTGGGTCGCGGCGTTCTGAGGGCACCTGGCAGCGAGCGAAGCTTATGTTTTGCTGCTGTGACCGAGGACTCAGTGAGGATTCATGTCGCTGAGGCTTCTGCGGCACGCGGAGCTGAAAGCGCGTTCGCATCGAATTCAACAATGCTGTGAATGTTTTGGACCTGGACTCAGCCGCATACCTTACAAGAACGGCTTGGCGCTTGCGGCCTCCTGCAACTTGCGCTCCAGATCCGCTATGGCCTTCCCGTGGATGCTGCCATGTGCAGAAGTGCAAACGACTCTGACAGACATTTTGTCAACCTGCCTTTTGCACTTGAGCGAGCTCTACCTAGGCTTCCGAAACAACCGAAAGCTGCGCAGAACAAGGCATGCTCACACGATTCCACGAATTTCTGTGCTGGCTAGCGTCCGATGAAGTTGTCGAAACTTGGCCTTTGGCAACTTTCGCCATGGCTCGAAAGGCTCGGCGAGGTGCACTGCCGCTGTCATGTTTCTGCCTTGCCTTTACACTCAATAACGACTAGGGACTGGCCAAGCCTGACGCATTGGGGCATATGGAGAATGCTGAAGAAGCCAAACCTCTGCGGTCAAGCCTCTATCCATGCAGGGCTGTAAACCTGCTTGACCTCCGCTACCACAGGCACGTCCGCGCAGCACCACTCCCTGCAGCACCCTATACAGGGCAGCTTGCTGATCCAGCTGTTCATCCGAACACACCTTGGCCCCAGGCGTGATTCGATAGATAGACTGTCAACCATGTGAAGTCTTTCAACACCCCCTCAACGAATCTTCTCGACTCCAATCGCGCTGCAGCGGTTTGCGAAAGACTAAGTGGGGGAATCTCCGGATTTCTAGGGCGGGGCGGGGCGAGTGTTCCACCAGCGACTGTCCATGTAGAAGCGTGGACGGACGGCTCTTCGACACCTCTAGATTACACTTTGCGGCTTGGGGCTCAACTCGCGCCATCCGCCGTCCAGGACAATCACTTGCCGCGGCGCCGCGGCCAAACTGCCTGCCTGGACAGAGCGCTCGCAGTCAGCAAGCGGTGTTGACCAGTCTTGACAGGTGTGCCTCCACAGCATCTGGACCTCAATGCATGCACAGAGCATGCAATTGCAGAAAGGGCAGCACATCCAGCATCAATAAAAACTCCCATGAGAATGCGGCTGCGACAATGACAGTAACTTCAGTATTTTTTGATAGCCATGCTGTCCTGCCTCTTTTGGCATGATGGTGAGACCGTGGGCACATGGGGCGGCTTTAAAAATGGCGGTTGACTGCGTTCTCATATATGCATTGATGTTGCCTGTTTGTCTTGGCATAAGGGAAGGGACCCGCCATGTATGATCCCAAACGAACCTGTTCGTGTAAAACAACCAATTTCGCCTAGGTTCTAGGTCTCTTTTTACTCTCCTCTTGCCAGTGTGGAGCATCCGTGCCGGATCTGGCTGGCTAGTAACTTATTTGGCGTAAGGGGTCTTGCTGGGACGTACGCATAATGTGTCCAGCCAGCTTCGCGCGTCTTTTCCATCAACATCTCTGAAAAGAGTTTTACCTTGGTTTGCCCCACCTATTTCTGCATTAGCTCTCTTAGTGACTCTTGCTTTCGTGTTTGCTGTTTACATAAGTAGTCTCCATTCCTAAAATCTTGCATAAGCCTCGCAGTGGAAAGCGTTAGCTTTTTTCTGCATAGCCTGTGTCGGATGAATCGTCTCAAGCCCATACAGCAACTTGCTCTTGATGATGGCATCATACACGGGTAGTTCAATGCTTAGGGCAGTTGACGGATTTCCAGAAAGCATTCAGCTTGAACCATAACTTGAGAAATTGATGCATTTTATGGCTGACTTCATGCCTGATGTCCACTGCCTGCGTAGTCCTGAGTAAGTTGCCTCATTCACCCTTGTTGGTCGTGTGCCGTCTGCGAACTTAATGATACTGCTACCGTTCATTGCGATATTGGAACATTTCTCTTTGTCCGATCTTAGCCCAAATTGAGGTGATACCGTCTCTATTTCGTGCAACAAGTTACTGCATGTTTGTGTGCATGTCGTGATTATAAGCGTGTCGTCAGCATAATACGCTCTGTCAAAGTCAAGCCCTTCGAACCGTGCACTTCGCGTTATTGCTGTGATCTTCCTGCTAATGTCATGATCAATCATGCTCATGACCAGAACAAACAGATACGGTGAAAGAGGACAGCCCTGTCTGATACCTGAACTCTGAACTTTAGTCTTAGATGCACCATATTCATCTTCCAAATGCAACTTTGGATTCTTGTAACAGTCTATGAGGACATCAATAAAGTGCTGATGTACACCTATGCGCTCTAAAGCTGTTGCCATTCTGTCATGTTGAATCCTGTCAAACTCTTCTCTCAATCCGGTGATGATGAGTTAGTTCCCCGCTGCTCTGCCATGTCTTGTAAGCATCTTGTAAAGAAAAAAAGCGTTAGAGGTGCTACGAGAAGGCCTAAAACCATATTGAGTAGCAGATGGCGTGAGGTGAAGCACGACCTGCAAATGATTCCGGATCCAGCACATGTAAACTTTGTAAACAGAATTGATAAGTGAAATAGGTCGACAACTGGATGGTAGATCGGTATCCCCTGTCTTGCACAATGGCACAACTCGAGCCAAGCAAGCATCTTCAGGTATCTGTGATGCGGACCACCAACCACTTAATATATCTAGAATACGAGCGCGGCGTTGCTTATTCATCAATTTGAACAGTTCCATTGTAAGACCGTCTGGTCCGGGTTGCTTGTTCTTGTCCATGCTCTTTAAAGCTGCTTCAAACTCCTCCTAACTGTAACAATCTACGTTGAATGCACCTTCCAAAGATTATTGATATTTTCTTTCGATGGTTATTGTGTTTGTGTTATGCCAATGCCAATGCTTTTCTTCCAAATATTTCGCAATAGTCTCCGCTCTGTCTTTCGGTCGTAATGATTCTCTAACAGTTCCAAAATCATGCACGTGTCTCAATCATCACCACAATCGCTGCGACACGAAGCTGGATGTGGGTCGTGTAGCATACTGACGATGTCCACTATTCGACCCAGGTCAGTGGCGCGAAGTATTCGGAGCACAGGTTACTTGCGCTCGCAGCCTTTCTGCTCCAGCGGATTTAATCATCCAAACTCCACCTCATCTTTCTCGCGCTGGCATTTAGAAGACTGCCCAAGTATGGCCCCCTGTGTTCTTCTGCTCCCAAGACCACTTCATCAGTTCAAGATGCGCACCAGACTGTGGCGGGAGCACGAAATTTGCTCGAAGCCAGGACTGTAGCGACTTCGTGCGATGCTTTGAGCTGTGGGGAGCAAAGAAGCCTCGCAAAGTGCCAACTGGCTCCTGCTTCATTAGATGAGAAAGCACCGTTGATCACATCGTTTCACACTTTTACTATTACGAGTCGAAGCTCGGCCCCTTCCCTCGCCTGTTCGTGAAGCGACCAGTCTGCGAGACCAAACTGCTTACTGGAAGCACGGAGCAGCGTTTGGCACGCTGAACAAGTAAGAAGTTACCACATTCGGCCCGAATGCTGCAGTTGTGGCGGTCGAAGACAGCACGGATGCATCTAACTTGACCGAGTGGCTTGGGAAGAGCACCACGGTGCCTTCCTCGTCGTCCACGAGCAGCTGCTGCAGCCTTTACAAGATGCATGGTGCTTACGACCAAATGCCCGGGGCTGCCAAGTATGCTCCGCCCGTCTCATGCCTGGCGTCGTGCTCCTCCACGCCCCAGCACAAGAGCTCAGCCTACACTGCACTTCGCACCGCAGACGTGAGAAAGGAGTGAACTGGGGCCATAGCACCAAAGTGTTTGAGAAGCTTGGCAGTGTTCGAGGCCTTTCCTGCAAAAGTCGATCCCAAATCAGGGCTCGCGCTTTTGGCTCGATTCGGAGCTGGGTTCCTGGCTTTGGCCGATCTCCAATCGGTGCATCAAGACGTAAACTCGGAGTCGGGTTTCTATCCTTAACCAGCCGCGCTGTCAGGCAAGGCGCTCCACTGGCAGTGCTCAAGCAGATCTTGATCATGCGTATCCAAGCTCAGGCGACGCGGGCCGGGGCATAGGGATGCTTTAGGGCCTGGGGAAGTGCGCACATGGATGGGCAGCCCAGCGACCGCGGCAGCCCCTTGCAACAACAGTGCTTCCTGCCAGCGATGAAGCACAGAACAACAGTCCAACATTTTGGCATCCATGTCGTTTTTGCGAAGACTTGCTCCCGGCCAGAGCCTCATCAGCCAACACTGCGTGCACTTGTCCCCAGGCATCGTCAAGAAAGCCTGGCATAAGCAAGGAGCTCTTAGACGCAACGTCTCCGAATGCGGAGGGAGCCTGGTAGCTTGCCCAGGCTTGCTCACTTCGCAGGCGCTCCCGGTCTGCACCGTGACAAGTCTCGTAAGGCCGTATTCCGAACAGGCGGTCAGAGTCGTGTGATCTGGTGCTCTCCGGGCCCACCTTGTGGTGGAACCCCCGGAAGCGACATCTCCTTGCGGATTTGGCGGGATGTCAGCTCCATCTTTGGAGGAGTCGGCTTGTCTCCGTGCCATCCCAACTCACATCCTTCAACTCACAAACCCTCCTGCGGTGGAGTTCAAGACAAACTTGTGTTCAGTGAGCTGGCCTTGTGATGCTTTTGCTCGAGGGCTTCTGGGCCGGCTTCCAGTGCCTGGCAATTCCAACTGCCACTTTCGAACCCGATCCTACACCTCCGGCTCAAATGGCGCTTCAGCCACCTCGCCAAGCTCGGTCATGGCAGGCAGGCTCCATGAAACGACACAGCTCTGCCTCTGCAGAGTTGAAGGAAGTGCCTGATGTGTTTCTGATGTGTTTCTGATGTGTTTCTCCCTTTGTCTGTCTGACCGTTCCTCTCGAGAACACTGGAAGATGGCTTCACACGCGAATCACTGGCAGACAGCCGTAAGGCCTCGCAAACAGCGACAGCTCAAAGTGGCCATGCCATGCAAGCCTTTTCTCAAAGGCTCAACTGTACGGCACAGGCGGAAACCTGACCCAAAGCCTGAGCAATTATCCAACCAGCAGCCAGCACAATCACTGACCGCCAGTTTTGGCGTAGGCGTGATGTTCGGCCGCATCCTCGCAGCATAACACAACGTGGCAAAACAACTGGGTTAAGAAAGGATTTGGTTGGCCATTATTAGCCAATAGCCACAGAGTGGAATCCTGGCACAATCTGTTGTACAACAAAGACAAGCCATTCACGATCATCGTGGTCATACTAAACGCAACCTTTCATCGTCCAGTTGTCATCATCTTCCCAATCCATCACAAAGAAACTTCTAGCTTCCCAGAACTATCCGCACATCATCCCTGAAGCTTGTGGTAACATTATGCTGGAAGGCATTTCCCAATTTGCAACCAAGCCCAGCCAGCTAGCAGAAACACTGAAGAGTCAGAAGCATCCGGGTGGCTTAGGAAGTTTCAGGCCGTGAAGATGATATCGAGGATGATCTGAAGGATAATGCAAACGAAGAACTGTTCAGCAACGTTCTGCATCAACACCATCCAAACTGTGGCTATGCAAGTACCTGCATTTAAAGAGGTACCCAGCGTTCCAGCACCGCCACCGGACCCGTCGGTAGTTATCGGTTTATCGTACCAAACAGGATCCAGCGCAGGGCAGGGAAATGCTCAATGTTGTGTGGAGTCTTCCAGGCAGTTGCTGTTGCCACAGAACTTGGCGAACTTTGCACGGAGAAGATACATGTAAGAAACTCGGCATGCTCCCTGCCCCTTTGAACCCAACTTAAATCATGCACTGTACTGCTGAAGCTGGAAATTGGCTTCGACTGAGGCTCTTCCAGCTCTTTGCAGCACAACGAGCGCATTGTGTTTTGCTGCAGCTCGTCTGAGCGCAACTGAAGTCTTGTGTAACTGTGTGGAAGCGCTGCCCTCCAATGACACGGAGAACGGAGGACAATGGCAGCCCCCGGCTGGAAAAACAAGATTTATTCATCTGGGAAGCATCGGCACTATGTGACTATCACATCCCGAAGGTGTCCCTATCTGGCTATCCCTGCAACGGCTGACAAACATGATGAACGTTGCGAAGCTTCCGCTGTATCAACATCGACTCACTGCAAAGCACAATCTACAGGATGGCACAATGAGAAGTACGAAAAAAGCACTCGCTCGTTTTGCTGGAAACGGGTGCACTTGCACGAACCTTAACGGCCGAAACCGCAACTGCAGTTTGCATCAACATGATTTGCAATCTCCCTTCCCTACTTTCGTCGGAGCATTTCTAAGAAAGCGTATCGTCTGCTTTAGCAACCATTCAGGCTTTCTCGAGAAGACAGCTTTGTCTGACCGTCAGTATTCATACCCAACATTTGCGGGAGGCATGACTCCACACGCGAAGGCCCTGAAAAGAGTTGAGATTTGAGGACTTGTAAATGCCAAACAGGCCTGCCCTGTTGATCTGTTTCTTCACGGCACGCATGCCCTGTGCAAAAGCAGCTCCATACAATTTGCTCTCCTAGCCTCATGACCACCAACCCAAACATCGAGAGTCCGGGGCCCGTGGCCCCCTGTCGGTGAATGACTCCGTCGACCCGAATCCAACAGTGCGAGTATGCTGTGGCCAGAACTCTCCAAACAAAGGCTCTCTAGCATTTCAGAATACACTGACAGTAGACTGGAGTAAAAGATCAACGCAGTCGAGGCTTGGCCCACCGCCTTCGTCTGGCGCTCTGGCCACTGTTCGTGAGTTCGTGGGTGCTTTACGACTTCCGCCACCATTCCCCACTTTCCTCGGAAGACTCCGTCATCGGGATTTAATTGGGGTGGCGAACAGAACAGCAAAAGCATACGGCGGCGGGTCTCCCTAGCCGCCATCACAAAAGAGGCTCTGCCAATCCATGCAAATCCCGGGTCTTCCCTCAGACTTGACCTGGATTGTTCAGAGCTGACGCGAAGTCAGGTGCTCTGGTGTTTATTATGTATGGCTCTCATCGTAGTCTTCGCACATCTTAGCAAATACGACAAGTACACATTGCTTGCGTGCAGTTCGCGAGCAATGTTATTCACTCAGCGCACCCGGCCGGTTGGCTCTACCAGATAGACTTATCCTCATGGCCTTGCAGCCAAGAGCACGTGCCTTGGAGAAGCCGACGAGCCAGGGCGAGTTGTCCGAGCCGAGCTCTGTATATCCGCTTGTCTCAGAGCTGGATGATATGCCTCCTGCGATGCTCCCGCTCCCCGGTTGAGGCGCTGCTTTTGCTGCTGGCGCCTGACCTGACGAGAGGCTTGGCCGAAGCTCCAAACAACACGCAGAGTCCACCCAAGCCCCAAGATGCCCCAGGATGCCTGCTGTCGCTGGAGAGGACTGGGCTCTCCTGCTGAGCGATGCGGAGCTCCGTCAGCGTCCTTTTCCGATCGATGAACTCGCTGAACTCCTTGCAACTCTCATGGGTGCACTTCACAAATCCTTCACAACACCTCAGCCCGATTTTGCTTGAAACTCTTGCCGTACTTTCTGCTCCTACTGCAATACCTGATCTGAAGCTGAACCTTGCTCGCATCGGACTGCGGCAGCGTGCTCTTGAGATGTGCCTCATGCAATGAGAGACTGCCTGTCCTTGGGATTCTCATCCACGGCAGCCTGCATGAGTCCACTTCAAGAGCATGTCACGACACTTTAGAATAGAAAACACAAAAAATCTTATTAGTTTAGAGAGCAGGTCACCATGAACACGCAGAGCTTTCGATGGTGGGAGTCGCCCTTGCTGGACGCCATGACGAGAGGCAGCTCAGATACGATCCGAGTTCCACGGCACAGTATCGCAGTAGAGCAACTCTAAACTGTAAACTAAGAAAAAACTTGATCCAACAATATCCAGCAATACAGCAAAATTTCTTGCGACATGGCAGAAGGCGATCGGCTGCGCCTTGTTACTTCGAAGCATCTTGCCGCAGCCCAGCTGCAGAATTCACTTTTCCTTCCGCACTCACCTTCTTGGCCGGACTGCGAGCCACATCACCAAGGCTCCCGAGAGCGCAGATGCGCAGCATGCGCAGGCGACCGCTGCCCTCCAAGGCGCCTCCGGGAGCAAGAATCGCATCTTCGAGATACCACAGTACCACTGCATCAAACTGTTTCCAAGTCCAAACGAAAAAAGCACCTGCCTGATCCGCTCGGGATGGGCTGGAGCTGTCCGCACAGGCCTCCTGACAACATGCCCCGTCACGATCTGCCACGGCGCCACGGTACTCAAACTCTGACATGAAAGTTACGGAACCGTGATGCTTCGTGCAGCAGCGCACCTGTCTCTCTCCCTTTGCCTGCAGAGGCTTCACCTCAGAAAACGGCGCTGCGTCGTCCTCATCCTGGGGAAACCAGAGCAAAGCAGGCAAGCAGGCAAGCAGGCAACCGCCAACCACACTCCGACACTCCGACACTCCCTGCCTCGTCGGCCGCCTGCCGCCACCAGTCCTCGGAGCTTCGACGAGGGCGCGACTGGGCCCTTATAGGCTTTCCAAGCTTCAACGGACTCCTAGGAATCTCGGTAGCGTCGAGCTGCCATATTTTTCTCTGTCTGCGAGATCGACATCAACGGCTTCATGCAGGAGCTCAAGGACCAGAAAAGGTCCGGGTGCTCAAACTCCTGCTGCGACAGCATCAACTTGATACCTTGGCTCTGAGACTTCTCTCGGCGGCTTCGGCATTGCTTCAGCTCTCAGCTCGCGGCGGTGACGCTCTTTCGGTGCAGCGAAGCAGGCCGGACAGTTATCCGCGATCACTGGCAGCCTCTAAGGCACCACGTCACTCGGAATCTGCATGCGAAGCGCGCCTGTTGTCTTTGGCGAACTGGGCAAGTGTCTTCTCGCGCACGTGCACCAAAGGTCGGCAAACGCGCAGGTCTTTTGCCGCCACGGCATAGTTCGCCTGCACCGCCAAAGCTCAAACAAAGGAGACTCTCCAATCTCGCGACGAGCCGTTGAGTGCATCGCCTTCATGGTCCTCAGGGAGCCGTTCCGAAAAGCCGACATGAGAAAAGATTCGGCGAAGTCATCCAGGTGCCTTTCAGCCAGACAATGGTGTCTCCTCATACCCCAAAAGCTGGTAAGCAACAGTTCTATCAGCTTTATCCAATGCCGCCCAGAAACTGCCCCAGACAAAGAACCTGTGATGCTGTACAATATATGCATGCGGGTGTGATCAGGCAGTCGTGCTTGCCTTCATACCAATCCGAACTTCGAAGCAGGTTTTGCATGCTAGCGAGACCAGCCAAGCAGCATTGTAGCCGTTCTCACGCATGCAAGTGTACCTGAGTTGGTCATCACACTGTCGAACCGCTGCGGGCATGCTGCGCTGGTGAAGACATGGGGACTGACAAGAGTGGGAATTCAATCTTCCGCCGGGAAACAACATACCGCGCTTCATTCGCGCGCAGAAGGAACCTCCATCAAACCCATGCAAGTCTACCGTGCATGTCCTCTGCACCAGTTTTATCAGCTGCCAGGTAGCAAATGGAAGGCTTCTTCGGGTCAAGGTGACACTTCGCCATCTCGATCAACGGTTTGGAGAGGAAGTGATAGGTGACCCCAAGGGCTTTCATGTAATCCTGGCAATAGACGACGGCATTCCCAACAGCAAACCTAGAATGCAATCGAAGTGCGGCTGGGCTTCGATAAGAGGCTGCGGTGAGAACTCGGGCGTCTCAGGATTTACCTCAAGACGATGCCGGCACAAGCGTGTCATTATCGAACACTTTTCGTGACTCCCGCCAAGTCCGTTTTCTGCAAGTGGCTGTTGCCGCAGCAACCTGGAATTTTACAGGAGAGCGCCGCTGCAGCTCCAGCAAGACATGGAGCATGGTCAGGCTGTCCTGACGAAACGAATCTGCCCCCGGCCCTTCCATTTTCTGATGCCTTCAGCTCTGGTGGGCGTCCTTGCCACCAGAGAGGCCCACGAGGAGACGATCCCCTTCTCGGATCATGTCATACCTGAGCTGATTACTCTCGGCTCATGAAGAAGCTCTACTTGTAGCATTCACGAAACGCACTGTACACTGTACGGGGTGGTGAGAAAGCCTGAACACCGAGTCACTCCTTGATGCCCCCAGCGACTTGGCTGCGGAGCGATTTCGGCACTTTCGGGGTCAGAGCAGTGCTTGGATACGATGGAGTCGGGCCTCGACTGTGGGCGAACTGATCCGAAGTTCCGGCAGCATCACACAAACCCAAATACAAGTAATGCAGGCCTATATATGCGAGGGCAAAGCACTGAAAAGGAAAAGACGTGCACTTGCCATTCCAGGAGCAAGCTCCGTCAGCCAGAGCGAAGCTGCCGTCATCCTAGATGCAAAGCTACAGGCACTAGCGCTACAGACACATAGCACCTCTAGCAGCCACAACTGCACGTCATAGCTTTAGCATCGAAGATGCTGTTGCAACTTGTTTCAGCTTTGACCTGTTCGGTTCTTGTTTGGGAAAGCCAGCACTCGGGCTCTTGTAACCTGAGAGTCACTGCCTATCACGTTAACACTCGATAGACACGTATAGTCCTGGTCAGCCTCCTCGTCGTTATCATCAACGTCATTCGCTCTACCATCACCATCATAATCTTCGTCTTCCTCATCTTCATCGCTTCCACATCTACCAAATGAAATACAACAGCTGGAATCGGAGGCTTCATCCAAAACGGCCGTGTAATCTCGACCCACGAGCCTGAAAGTCGAGACCGAAATTGAATAGTTACAGGCTCATCTGCATCATCTGGAATGGTCGCACAGGTTCTCTTTGAAAGGAGTCAACAAAATCGTAAATCATAACACACGACAACTAGAGTCACCGAAACAGCCCGAGTCCTCGTCGCACCCGAACTCGAAGGCCAGGATATCTTCATCAGCATCTGGCGGCGATGCAGAGCCCTCACCTCCACGAATGCCACAACGGCAGGGAGGGGATGACATTGCAGGAAGGAATCACGAAGGGGCCCTGCAATTCAGGCCCTGGGCTCTGGGCCTGGCTCCGAGCCGGCCGAGGTCGACTCGGCAGCTTCGGCCACCACCGAAAACGCAGAGGCATTCGGACCTGAGCGCATCGCGTCGGAAAGCTGAAGAGATATCCGTATCGTCATATCCTCGATAGGACTTATAAGCATCCGGCGCTCCACCACCTCCGCTGCACAATGCTCCCTCATGCTTCAGCTCAAACTTCCTCGGGCCTTTGCCGCAGTGAACACGGCGCCCTCTGCATCTAGGAGCGGCGGCACATCGCTTCTCAGCGCGGCGGCAGCATCCGTGGGCAGAGCGAACCACGTCTTAGAATGTCTCATGCAACTGGATGTGACGAAGCCAGACATTAAGAAAAGAAAGACGCGCCCGCGGAAGGAAGAGAACACCGGCGCCAAGCTACCAGGTGGGCATACTCGGCATCCAGGAGCGGACATTTGGTAGAAGACAGCGGAATTGGATTCTCACCTGGTGGTGAATGTCGCTGCAATGGGAAGCAAGAGCGTAAGACCCCAAGCTTTCCGAACGACATCTGAGTGCCGTCTTGAGTGCCGAAGCTGGGCCCGGCCCCCTCCCGCCTTTGAATGTGTTGGCCAAGGCAGCATCGGCAGCTGCCAGCACATCTTCGGGCGGAGCGCTGTCCTCGAACGTCGCACGTCGGCTGGTAACTGCAGCCATCTGCTCATTGCCTTTCTGATCCCTCGGACCTTCGCACGGCACAGGCTGGCTTCCAGCTCTCGCAGAGGGCTGCTCTGCAGCACTGGAGGCACCAAGCTGGAGAGCCACTCTCGGTCCTGGACATCGCTCGAACGTAGTGCGAAACGGGGGAGTCCAACGAGTCCGCCGCTCTCGAGGCCTGCTGTGGAGTCGCCAAGCGGTGGTACCATTCGCCCGTCTCAACGCAGAAGCTGTACGCTGGCAGCAGCCGCCAGCCGTTCCTTGCTATCCACTCCTCAGCTCAGCCAGCAGAAGTCTCTACGTGTAGCTGCTCGCATGGAGGTGGTGAGACAGCACAGATTGAAAGCTAGCTGCCACCGCGGAGGCCAAGAGCTCCACGTCCTCGTCTGACATTGCGAAGTGAACACCAAGTCGAACGAAACCTCGAGCGGATTCTGGAAGAAGCACCGACGAGGGCCGCCGAAACCCGTTTTTTCCACGCCTGGTCGTAGCACTTCCTGGGCGGACCGGAGCAGCGCCTGGCTGGGCGCAAAAACGACTGGACTGTGGGTCCGGGCCCGTCCGGGCCGAAGGCTGCAAATCTGCAAAGCTCCTCGTCGAAGCTTCGTGCCAAGTCCGCATCGATGCCCAGCAGCTTTTGGGCGTAGGGCCCGGCACAGGCACAGCCTCCTCGAGCCTGCAGGGAGAGGAGTCGGAGCACCCCGGCAACCCCGGCCCGGGCTCAAAGGGAGGCCAAGGCCTGGATGCCGAACAAATCGTTCAACCTAAAGCCACGAAGCCACGAAGCCACGCTGCAGGGCTCTGCACCCACCCGTCACAGCTTGCAAAGCATCCTTCTTTCCGTGCCGCCAAGCTGCAAGGCCACCACGTAGTTGTAGTGCAGATACAACCCGCCACTCGGCTTGTTCCCGTAGCGGATCATGAACGACACGATAGCCGCGCGGTTTTGTCCAGCCTCCATCTTGCCCAGCACCTCAATGCCTGGCGCTGCGCAGCAGCAACAGCTATGGTATACCATGTAGCCATTCATTCCTACATACGTCAAGCCCAGGCACGTGGCTGCAACGCCCATCTGTCCAACAGCGCACGGAGGCCGCGGTGC